CACATAAACTGCAGCACAGACAACACAGCCAACGCTTGTGACAGATCCGACCGAAACAAAATGGTATCAAGAAGACCAACAAGCCCTTGCAATTCTTCAAAGCTCCTTGGCTCCTCACATCATCAATAACTACATTTACTGTGAGACCACAAAGACGCTTTGGGATAAACTGAAGCTAGTGTATGGCAACCTCTCCAATATGAGTCGGATCTACGAAATCAAAAAGGCGTTGTCTGTTGTACACCAAGGAGGCAGATTGTTTGAAACCTGTCTCGGTGAGCTTAGCAGTTTGTGGGCGGAATATGAGCAACTCCGACCCGATACTACAGACCCAAAGATCATCCTCGAGCGTAAGGAGCAGGACACGGTATTTTCAATCCTCTCATGCTTGGATGGCACTTACAATGAATTAGTTTATCATGTGCTCAGACAAGATAAATTCCCCACCGTGGATGAAGTTTGCATGATTATTCAAAGGGAAGAGGGAACTAGAAACCTTTTCCATGGCACGTTGGATCTAGCACATGCCGCCACTCATTCTAAGTCTGCTCAGTCCATTATCGAAGAAGCACACATCGCTCGAAGGCCCTTGTTCGATCCATCCAACAGGGACAAAAAGACTCAGGTTTGTGAACATTGCAGAAAGGTGGGTCATGACAAAACCAGGTGTTGGTTTTTACATCCTCATCTGAAACCTCGAAACTTCAGAAACAAAGATACTCGAGGCAAAACTTCGGCAATGCTCACTCAAGACAATGTCGAAGCACTCATTCACGCCCTTCAATCAATGAACAACGATAACGGTAAACAGTTTTTAAACTCAATTATTATCGATTCCGGTGCAACTAATCATATGTTTTCTTCGAAACATTGGTTTACCAACATGCAGAAAATGTTCGGGTCGGTGTCTGTTGCTAACGGACATCGAATTCCCATTGTTGGCCGCAGATCTGTTTCTTTCTTTGATAAAACCATCACTGCGCTTTATGTTCCCAATCTTAAAACAAATTTAATCTATGTTCCTAAACTTACTACCGACTTGGATTGCAAGGTTATATTCGATGCTAACGAAGTTTGCTTTCAGGATACTAAGACCGGAAGGACATTTGGAAAGGGCTTACTCAAGAATAATCTCTACATGCTTGGTGTTTCTTCATTCTCGTCGGATTCAGCATTTAGCGTTCTTTGGCATGCTAGATTAGGTCATCCTCATTCTAGAGCATTAAAAAAACTGTTACCGAATGTTCTGTTTGATAATAAAGTTTGTGACGCTTGCATTTTTGGCAAGCATTGTCACTCGGTATTTTCCCATTCTAATACTACGTATCAACATTGTTTTGAACTTGTGCATTCCGATGTATGGACGGCTCCGTGTTTTTCTCGGGATAAACAAAAATATTTTATCTCCTTTATTGATGAGAAGTCTAAATATACTTGGATAACGTTACTTGGCTCCAAGCGTGACGTTTTCACGGCTTTCAAAAATTTTTATGCATATATTACTAACCACTATCAAAAGACAATTAAGTTTTTCCGTACAGATAATGGCGGGGAATACATGAATCGTGCTTTCGCTGAATTTCTTCGACAACACGGCATTGTTCATCAAACGTCTTGTGCATACACGCCGCAACAAAATGGTGTTGCCGAACGAAAGAATCTTCATCTTCTCGAAGTGGCTCGAACGCTCATGTTTCATCGAAATATTCCCGTCAAATTTTGGAGTGACGCGGTAACTACGGCGACATTCTTGATCAATCGCCTACCGACAAAAATTTTGAAAGATAAGACTCCGTTTGAGGTACTAAATAACAAACCCGCTTCCCTAGAGTACTTGCGTGTTTTTGGATGCATTTGTTTTGCTAAGGTACCGGATAACACTCGCCATAAGTTACAACCGAAGAGTACAAAATGCATCTTCCTCGGTTATTCGACGGAACAAAAAGGATACAAGTGCTACGATCCAATCCAAGAAAGAGTTCTCGTATCACGAGATGTCATTTTCCACGAGGACCGTAGTTACTTTGATCAGGAAAATGGCTCCAAACTCGACTCTATGCTCCCTGCACTAGATGGCTTAAATGCTACACTTTCCCGTCTCCTTCGCGTTGCTCAAGAGACAAACAGAAGCTTTGTCGACGATCGTTCTCTTCCGGTGTCCTCTATCCCCATTAACGGTATCTCTAATCCTCCACCTGTACCTAATATTTCTAACAGTATTCCAAGTTTGCAGGAGACAGATTCCATGCCTAGCGACGCACCACCATCTGTACCGTTGCCGATGGCATCTATTGAACATCCTCCAAATTCATCGAACTCACTTCCGATGCTACTAATAATACCCAACCGGTCTCCTCCAATAGCGCAGAAGTCAGGGGGAATATCCCTTTCCCGTCGTCGTCACCTATGCAAACCGAGGCTCCAAAGGGCAGTCTTCTCACCGCAGAAGGGATCCGGCGTAGTGCTCGTATTCGGGAAAAAGGGACAAAAAGCGATACTTTTGTCTTATATCCTATTGAAGATTATTGCACTTATTTAAGGTCTGATGAAATTTCCTTTCTTAGCCATTTAGAAAGGCACGCCGAGCCACGTTCCTATGGAAAAGCAAAAGACATCCAAATATGGAAGGATGCCATGCAAGACGAATTGGCGGCATTAGAGAAGAATCGAACATGGACGATTGTTGACAGACCATTGGACAAAAATATTATTGGAAGCAAGTGGATATACAAGATAAAATTTCGGAGCAACGGTGAAATTGAACGCCACAAAGCCCGCCTTGTTGCCCAAGGATACACTCAGACTTAAGGCGAAGATTACACGGAGACGTTTGCTCCGGTCGCCAAGTTACCCACGGTTCGTGTTATACTTTCGCTTGCCGCTAATCTTAATTGGGATCTCTGGCAGATGGACGTTAAAAACGTCTTCCTCCAAGGTGACTTGGATGACGAGATCTACATGGTTCCTCCACCTGGATATCGTGAACACCTTGGCCCGAACAAAGTCTGCAAGCTTCGTAAATCCCTCTATGGACTCAAACAATCACCTCGGGCGTGGTACTCTAAGCTCAACTCAGCGCTCATCAGTGCCTCCTTCATCCGTAGTAATTCAGACCATTCCTTGTTCATCAAGCAAACTTCATCGGGTACTATCGTTCTTCTCATTTATGTCGATGATATTATTATTACTGGAGACGATGTTCATGGGATTTCACGCACCAAAAGTTTCTTGCAGAACACGTTTGAGATCAAAGATTTAGGAGATCTTAAATATTTTCTTGGCATCGAAGTCCTTCGTAACTCACATGGCATTTTCCTTTCCCAAAGGAAATATATCTTAGATCTCCTTCATGATACCGGAAAACTCGGGGCGAAGCCGTCTAAGACACCACTAGAGGATAATTACAAAGAACAACGCGAGGGGGAATTACATACGGATGCGGAACAATATCGTCGCGTTGTCGGTAAGTTAATCTACCTTATTATAACCCGTCCTGATTTGTGTTTTGCTGTGAAACAGGTCAGCCAATGGATGCATACACCAACGGTTCATCATTGGCGAATGGTTGTAAGGATCTTGAAATATCTTAAAGGAATCCCGGAAAAAGGTATTTGGATGAACCGAAATAACCATGTCGAGATGGTAGCATATTGTGATGCAGATTGGGCCGGAGACAGGACGGATAGAAAATCGACAACCGGCTATTGTACGTTCGTGGGAGGCAATTTGGTGACTTGGAAAAGCAAGAAACAACAAGTCGTGGCGCGATCAAGTGCGGAAGCTGAATACCGAGCAATGGCGAACACAACATGCGAGATCATGTGGCTCAAGGGATTACTTCAAGAACTCGGCATTTCCGTCAGTCAACCGATTACTCTCCACTGTGACAGTCATGCCGCCATGCACATTGCTCAGAATCCCGTGTTTCACGAACGAACCAAGCACATTGAGGTAGATTGCCATTTCATTCGTGAAAAGATCGCACAAGGGATTATCATGACGTCTTACACGAAGAGCAATGACCAATTAGCCGATATCTTCACAAAGGCATCTAATGTCAAAGTGTTTATCAATTCTCTCTCCAAGATTGGTGTCGTCGATATTCCCGAACCAATCTTGAGGGGGAATGTTGAACCACAACTTCACAAGGATCAAGCTATGACAGACCAAGTTTCCAAAAGAAGACCATGAAGATGCTCAAATGGTGTCTGTGATGCAAACAGACGTGTGTGAGAATCAATATGGTGTTGTTGATGAATGGCATAGTCCTTGGAGTGATCTTGGGGTGAAGATTGACTTATGACACTAAGGTTTCGGCATCTACACAGAGGAGATATTATGTTTTCCTTTTCTAATTATGTTCTGTTGCATGTTCCCTTTTCCAATTGATTCACTTTCCTTCTAAGCTTATTCACGCTACTGCAGCAAGGGTTTGGATCTGAATAACACAAGATGGAGAAGTTTTCTCCAGCACTTTTTTTTATTTCTCTTGTCTGATACAAAGATTAAACATCAACCTATACTCTGATTCTAAAGTTCTTTCACAAAAGATGCAAACCGATAGATCTATCCCTCTTTCGGTGGAAGACGAAGAGGCATCGTCGATAGTTTCCGTGTTGAAGGATATCGGAGCAGCGACTCTCTTTTGTGTTCGAATCCTTGTTCTCACTCATCTCGGGATCGCAGTTGCAACCTCAGCCAAGCAGTTGGTCGATAGTTTCTAAATTCTTGAACAAGAAGAATGGAAACGGTGCCGAATCGAAGAACGAGTTCAAGAACGTAGATTCTGCGTTTTTTTATTTCTTTCGCAATTCGATGTAAGAAAGATACAAAAATATAAACCAATGTATTGTACTGATGTCCGAACCAGACATGTGCTGTCAGGATTCCAATCATTTGTTTAAGCAATAACCATTAAACGCACATGTTAGACATTAATAAAATTGTAAACAACGTTTCCGGCATTCAATACATCGAATTGAAATGTTAGAGAACAGAAATGAAAGACACTCCCCAAACAATAAATGATGCGAGAGTTAAAAAGACCTTAAAGGATCATTAATACATGTCACTAACCCTTTATAATTGATTATATATAAATACCACTCCTTCAATTCCCATATCAAGAAAAACAAAAGCATAGCATATTAGAAAACTAATCAAATCCAAACACATTCGGAAAAGATGACAAAACTCAACATCAAGATCGTTGTCGCCTTAGCCGTTGTAGCTGTGGTATATGCATCTTCTATACCCGTATTTGCTATTGAAGAAGGAGAGCCGAAACAGCTATGGGACGAATGTCTTACCAAAATGTCTCCAAAGTGTACGTTGGATATAGTCGAAGAGATTTTCTGGAACGGGACCGTCTCCGATGCTTGTTGCCGCGAACTTGTCCTAGAGGGGAAGATCTGTCATGATACTCTTATCAAATACATGGCAGACAGACCAAGTTTCATCGCCCGTGAACCCGAGTATTTGGCAAAGAAAGATGCTCTATGGGCTCGTTGTGTGTCGGTCAAAACAACCGTTTGATAGAAATCTATTTCGAAAATAAAAATGTGACTTCGACTGAACAAATTGTGATTTTTTTCTTCAAGTTTCACAACATATCTTACACTATAATCCTCTACTTATTGTTTTATAATATGAACACATGGTTTACTTATTGACACACACACACAAATATATATATATAATGAGTTGCCATTATCATCTGATATGAGATAATTTGAGTTTTGTTTCGGTACTAATCGGGTGTGGTTCGGTATTTATCGAATCCAGTTCGGGAAAGGTTTATTCAATTGTACAAAAATTATACCTGATTCCCGAGCCAACAAACCTCAATCAGTTTCAATGCGGACTAGTTCAAAACTAAATTCTCGAACTGAGACGTCTACCCCTAAATTTGAATATGAACTGTTCGGATTCTAAGATTAGAAATTTGATCTCGAATATGTAGGTATCTACGAAATCCCAATTGTTTGGATATCCGTAGAATACCCGCAAATCTCAATCAGCTTCTCTTTCTCTTCCATCGTCGTCCAGATTGAGAAAACATATGCAGAGATGTCTAGATTGAGATCATACTGAACTCACCAAGACGATGAGGACGAGAAGCCGCAAGCGAGTGCGGAACCGCAGGTTAAAATTACAGAGGATTCGGGCATCCACGGATATCCGAACAGTAAAATTCCTAAACCCGAACTCGATATACGCTCTTATATACATACATGTCAATATCTATCTTCTTCTTCTTCTTTTGCTAGAAAGATATCACACATAACACATATACTCCAACATTAAAGAGTTGATATCGTTCCATTTAAAAAAGAGAGTTTCAGAGATTTACAAGGTTCGTCTTCATAGAGAAAAGTACCTATGTTTCATAGAGTGCATATATATATATATATAGAATTCATGAAACCAGCCCATGGGAAATCGAAGTATTATGAACATACAAAATGTAAATAGGGTGATTTATTACTTACACCAGAAAACAAACTGCGTCGATCTGAGAAACTCATCGGATAGCTCCCGTCAAATTCGCCCCGCCGAGGTTAGCCCCTTGCAGTTGCTGATGCATAAACATACGAGAAGATTATCGAGTCATTTAAGCTGATAACGATAAACTAAACCGGGAATTAGAACGAGTGAAGAATGACTTAGAGGGGGGAATCGAAAGATTTTCATTTCAATGCAAAAACTTATCTGATAATGTCGAGATCTTACAGTGTCTCGCAGGTTCACATGTCGCAGGTAAGCCCGTTGAAGGTTTGCGCCTTTCAGATTGGCATTACTCAACTTTGCACCCTAAAGCATAAAAAAAAACGAATGAAAAAACCCGTTTAAACAAAAAAAAAAGGAGAAAAAACATATGCACAATCATTCAGATTATATATAGCTCCTCACTCAACTTTCTCGCGGAAACTTCTCCGAAAACCGTTTTGTTTTTGTTTCGCTCAGCCATTACCAATGTCACATTTACGGCATTTTTGTCTGAATGTCAAAAGGCTTACCTTCAGATTGGCACCTTCCAGATTTGCTCCCTCCAAGTTGGCATTTGTGAGGTCTGCGCTCTGGAGGGTAAATAAAATTATCAAACACTATTACTGATCACATCTCACAACTTAACTTATGAATTATACTACAAGGAAAATATTATTTTACATTAGGCAAATTAAACCACATTTAAAGTAGAACACATGTTACTCACCTGTAAGTGTGCACTTCGGAGATCCGCACCACAGAAGCTACAATCTACTAAGCAGGCATCTGCAGCACAAAGATTCGATTTCATCGGTCAAATTAATATTCGGCTAAATGAAATTTTTCTCCGAGCATTGATTGATTTATGAGGCAGATTATCCATATGGGGCACCTTGTAAATTTGCACTCTGGAGATTGGCACCAGCCAGCAAGGCTCCTCTAAGATTTGCTCCAGTAAATTCACACCTTTTCTAGGAAGGGTAAAAATTGTTATAGGCAATGTTGAAAGGGGTAAATGTTGGATCGTTAATATGGTAGGGTGTGTTGAGTTTCTTACTCTCGTAAAACTGCATTGTGGAAGATGGTGCCCTCGGCGTCAGCGTCCTGTTCGAAGCAATTAATCACCCGGTATGATTTGAAGTGTCTCCCCAAAGGAACTAGAATTACCCGATGGAATGGAGTTTCTTCACGACAAAGAGGGAAATGAGTAAGAAGAGATAGTTACCCGGAATTTGGCACACTGAAGATTTGCACGAGAGAAAAACACATTCTTGAGACGGGCATAGCTGAAGTCCACAAAGGAGAGATCCTGCATTATAGAAACACAAAATCACTTGGACGGTAATGTGAAACAACGTTTCTGCAAATTCTAAACAATGCTGCTATGGATGAAGAACCCAAGAGTATCGGTAAAAGGCTAAAAGCAAATCAACATGTGCTCAGAAGAATAACCACAATTTGTCTTCAGTAATCCAATTAAAATCCAACAATAAAAGTTAGTGGTACATTATAGATCATAAAATAAGAAGAGAACAACCAGAAATGAATTCTGAGAGAAGTGCTTGGTTGTCAGAACAATTACAGTTATTTCAACATCAGCTAATGGTGTCGGTTCTTTCTTCACAGCAACCACGACCAAGAAATCTTACCAGCTTAGAAAGGTCAATGCCAGAAAGATTAACTCCTCTGAATCTGACTTTCTCGGATTGTATACATTTAATGATATCTGTACGAGCTAGTTCGGCTTCAAATTCATCAGTTTCCTTTCTTGAACTTACAACGTTGTTTATCCCATCTATCAGCCCCTGAAATATGAAGAGACAGCCCCATATTATGCAAAAAAGAAAAATCTCAAATAAGAAGGAAATTGGGCGAAAAGAAAGTGAGAAGATGCATGGGTGAAGAAGGAATGTATAACTTACTAGCAGCTGATAATATTCTGCTTCCCGCAAAAGTTCATGGTACTCAGGCTCTGGTAAAGCGGGAACAATACCATCTCGTAACCAATTTAAAATATGGCGGAAATGCTTACCATCCCTGTCTATGAAAATATACCCCTGAGAAAATAGGAGTTAAGGATTTTATATATGTACATTCATTAATGGAATTACATATGGGCAAACCCGTATCTGTCTACGTACACATATTGTATGTGTATGTACATGAATCTGTGCAGATGCTGCCAAATCACTTAAGCAAGAAAATAAGTCGTAACAACCATTAGAATCACCTTAAGCACTTAAACTTCTGTTAATTACACATTGTGACACTGATCCAAAAGTTAAGTGACTGAGATCTCCGTATATACCAGATCCAAATCTTAGTTCCTTTAAACTGAAGACCATTGTTCAACCACACAAGTTTGATTCTTGTTAGAGATGATGATATTGCCATTGCCATAGCAATAGGTTAAAAAAAATTGAAGCTTTTTAATATGCAGGCTCTAAACAACATCATCGAGGAAAAATGAAAAAAGGAAATAGAGTTGCGACACAAACGAGAGAGACGACAGTGTTACCTTTTCCGATTCCTGGCAGACTGTATGCCGACCACTGAACATGGCAGCAAGCATTGAATCCGGATCACGGTTAGTCAATGTATCGACTGTAGTACAAAATTTCTTCCCGCCTGCGCAAACAGATGCATTTCACAAGCATACTTTAGTTTTTCATATCGAGTTTGCAGACTCAAATATGAGTCATGACCCAAGAAGAAGACAACCACACCATACAAGAACCCAGCTCTGATCACAGTTAATCGGACAAAACGGAGATCATATGTAAAATAATTCGAGTTATTCACAGTTTAGTAACATCAGAAGGAACAGAAAACTAAAAGCAACACACAATGTGTTCGTTAATCAAACACAGAATCACAAAATTCCAAGATTTTTCTGACTTCAACCAAAAAGCTGCAAAATGTATTGTTCTAATGCACCATTCGGATGAAATGAAACAGAAACAAACAATCAAAAATCGACTGAGAGTGAGAAGTCCCAATTCAAAGATTTTTCCTCCGATTCTTACACTTCGCACATAGCGACAACACTGCAGCTCTTCTTCCCGATAAAAACCCATCAATCATCCGAGAATCTAACTGCATTTATCGACCAACATCACAAAACCCTTCTTCAAGACAAACAATCATCCGCCATACAAGAATCTCCACACACAGTTATCTCCTAAAAAGCTTACAAATCACAAGCTCTCAGGAATCAGACACCGAAAAAATCGTCTAAAGAACTGAATAATCAATATTTCCGAGAAAAAAAAATACATCAACCCAATCATCACTCGAAACAACACGAACATGTATTTTCCGCTATGTCGAGGGCCCAAACCAAATCGAAGATTTAACCAAAAAAAGTCAAATTTGATGGTAAATAAGTGATCATGGAGAAAATTGCGCGTGAATCGGACTTACCAATGTTGAGGCGAACCATGGAAGGCATGTCCGAGTGCTTCGCCATGGCTGATTCGAGAAAGAGAGAGAGAGAGAGAGAGAGGAACCCAGCAGGAAAGTCTCAAGCTTTTAGCAGATTTCTGGAACAAATCCTTGACTAGGAGGAAATCGGGGTTCTTGGGGCATAATTATTTTTGCAGGGGTTTAAAGAGAGAACATTCAGAAGATGAGGTACTGTAATTGAAATTAAAAAACTAAAGAAAATGTCCAAGAGCTACCGTTATAGTAATTTTACCAAATTCACATATTAATACACGACTGTATAAGAAAAATTCAGAAAAAATATATGAATTCTTCTCCACTTGAGCTGTGGAATATATATTATCATGCGATTTTCCCCAATATTTTATTATTATCAAAACTTATTAGATACAAATATTTGTCATACTTGGTAGGGTTAGACAAACGGTTGGTTATGGGTTAATCGGTTACGGTTATTTCAGATTCGGTTATTTTGGATTATTAAAACTCATAACCAAACGGTTAATTAATTTTATTCGGTTCGGTTCGGTTTCGGTTCGGTTCGGTTCGGTTTTGTCTATTTAAAACTATAACCAAACTATAACCAAATAAAGATTCGGTTCGGTTCGGTTTCGATTCGGTTATAATATTTAAAAAATCAATTCATTTATAATTAAAAATATTCATATAAAATATAATATAAAATATTATCATAATTATTTTAACATATAAAATAATAATATCTAAATTTATATTTTGATATAAAACTATTAAATAAATAAATATCGTTATATTTAAAATATAATAAAACAATGATTAAATCAAGAATATAAATATTTATATATGTATATAAATATATATAAATGAAGATACATAAACATTTCGGTTCAGTTCGGTTCGGGTTCGGTTAATTCGATTTATAAAAATTTATAACCAAAAGGTTAATAATTTTTATTCGGTTCGGTTCGGTTTGGTTTCAGTTATTTGGGTTTTAAAAAATCATAACCAAATGGTTATTTAATTTTATTCGGTTCAGTTCGGTTCGGATATTTATCGATCGGTTTATTTTGTCTAGTCCTAATACTTGGTGTAAAAACGAATATTTGAAACCCATCAGAAGGATAACTATATTTAAGATTGTGTGAGAATTAGGGGTGGGCACGGGTCGGGTACCTGGGATTTTTAGGGTACTCGAACCCGAATCCGAACCCAAAAAATAATACATTTTGAAACCTGAACTCGAACCCAAGTTTTCGAATACTCGAAATGTATTACTCGCTAGATAATTTTCGGGTACCCGCGAATATCCGAACCCAAAAATTTTTAATTTTTTTTTTTAAAATTATAAATTTATAAATTTTATACAAATAATTCATAAAATTAATGAAAAGAATTTCAAATATTTATATTTAAAATAATTAGATAATAAAATAATAGTTTATATATATATAAAAATATAAAAAATCAAGATAATTCATAAATATTTTTATTAATATTAAAATTTTAAAATAAATAATATTTATTTTTTATTACTCGGGTACCCGCGGATAATTACCCGACCCGAAAGTGTAAACCCGAATCCGAACCTGAATTTCGGGTTTTACATATTTTAAAATCCGATCTCTATCTCGTAATATAACGGGTATCCGATTTTCGAGTATCCGACCCTCGAATCGGAACGGGTACCCGATTTTCGGGTAATTTTGCCCACCCCTAGTGGTGAGAACTATAATTGAACATGACATCTTTTCAAAAATAAATTTGTTTCATATAATATAAATTGCTACGAAAATCCGAACTCCTCTCCAAATGGCGTCTTCCTAAAACCCTAAGCCAAGCCAAAGCCGGAGATTTCTGAAAATCCCATCATTCCATCTGATTCTTCCCCCTTCTGGATCGTAATATGGTCGATGACCAAATTGAGCTCGAACAATCGCCGGTTTCTCGGAAGGCGAAGTCCCTGGAGACCTTGATCGGCGGTTCTTTTCCGGCCTCTCTGTCAAAGCTCTCGTCGTCTTCTTGTGCGATTCCGGCTAACAAGGACTTCCATTTTTTCTACAACTTCGACGAGTTCAAGCGTCCGACCGATGGCATTGCCGGGAACTCGCAGTCCGTTCTCGAAACGATCGGTGACTCGCCGCAGGTCTGGGGGAAACCGATGTTATTGAGCGGCGATATCGACGGAGACGATGCATACGACTGGCTTGTGAATGTTACCGATGCTATTTATGAGAGGTTTGATGATTCGATGGATGAGTTCGACAGGATTCGGAAGAAAGAGGAGGAAATTGGTCGGGCATTGGGTCCCGTGACTGATGAGAATGGGTTTCAGATGGTCTATGGGAGGAAGCAGAAGGCGGTAGGTAGCGACGGTGCTGTGTCGGCGAGGGGGGGCGGCGGCGGTCGCGGCGGAGTTATTGATGTGAAGGTGGCCGAGAGGGATAAGAAGGTGTCGGTTTCGGGTAAGGCAAAGGTTCCGTTCCATATGCCGACGATAAAGAAGCCTCAGGAGGAGTATAACATATGTGTGAACAACGCAAACCATCCCTTTGAGCATGTCTGGTTGGAGAAGCATGAGGACGGTCAGCGGTTTATTCATCCCCTGGTCAGTCTGCTGCATTTGCCTGTTGATCTTTATGTGTTTCACAAGAACTGTTTGCTCAGAATCAGATGCTGTCGATAGGGTTGGTTATGGAGGATAAGCTAAGATACGGAATTGGGTTTTTTTTTTAAATTGTATGGTTACTCTTTTCAACATGATTGAGAAGTAGAAATATCCTGCCTTTTTGTGACAACTGGAGAAAGGTTTCTTTTTGTTTCTTGATTGCTTCAGGAGACAGCAATTTTGGTAAAGATGGCACTGTTATAGAATGAGAGGAGTTCTCTCTAAACATCATAAGGGTCAACTATTTTATCCCCCTCTGGCCGAAGCTAACTTGCATTGCAGTAATGGAGCTTGAAGGCTTATTTACTTTGCTTTACCAGTCAATGACTCCGTTTATATGAAGATGAGGAAATAGCTATATGTTTTAGCATTATCTGTAATCTTGATTACCCGTCGTTGACTCTTTGTATTGGTATTGTGTTGATGAAAGCAGAGGTTAATATGCTAATGCCATTATTTTCTGGTTTTCTGAGTGTGTTTTATTTGCTTTTTCTACTGTTGTTCATTACAGAAAGTCTTTTTTTTTTTGCACTATGCAGGAGAACCATTCAGTAATGGATTTCGTGGACACAAACATAGGAGAGACAGAACCTGTTAAGTCCCTCCCAATGAAAGAGACTCCATTCAAGTTTGTTCAAGAGGTCAAAGATCTGAAGGATTTAGCTGACAAATTGTGCGGTGTTGAGGAGTTTGCGGTAATAATTTTTTTATTCAGCTATTATTTTATCAGTCCAATGTGCAGTGTGTAATTGGAGCATGCTGAATTTTTAAGAATTATGGTATGAATAGCATTGTCTATGGTAAGACTAGTCGCATTCAATTCATTCTACAGAATCTCTTGAAAACAACTGGATGTAGAGTGAAGCTTCAGACTTTCAAAGATGTGTCAGTTATCTAGAAATTAACTTTTCTTTTTTTAGCATTTAGTTAGCAAAACTCTGAATTTTCTGGTTATTGGGTTGTCTGCAATTCTTCGATCCACCTTTTATTGGAAGACACAAAACAATTATGGTGATCTTACTCCGACTTCTTGTTGAATCGGCCGTATTTATAATCTCTATTGTATGTTTGAGGTTGATCTGGAGCATAATCAGTACCGATCTTTTCAAGGCTTGACATGCTTGATGCAAATTTCTACCCGGACCGAGGATTATATTGTTGATACGTTCAAGCTTCGGGTTCACATAGGTTCTTACCTTAGGGAAATATTCAAAGATCCTAAAAAGAAAAAGGTTTCCTCCTGAACAGTGAACACTTATGTTCTTCCTTTAAAGTTCTATATCTATTTCAGTATGAAGACATTTAATATTTATTTAGGTAATGCATGGAGCAGATCGAGATGTTATTTGGCTTCAACGGGATTTCGGCATATATATCTGCAATCTCTTTGACACAGGACAGGTATGATTTCTGGAAATTGTCTCATACTATTATTCTATGTTGAAACATGGCTAGTATCATCTTTTCTTTCTTTCTTTTTGTTACCTCCATTGTTTATTTGTCTTTTGAAATTAGAGATAAAAAAAGACATTGAACTTAAGTTGTTTTCACAATGTTTATTTGGCCAATTATCACCATACAAAAGAAGAATCACATTGAGCAATATGCATTCAAAAGATTCTGTGTGCTGATGTCTCTTGAATTCTTTTGCTGGTTCTTTTAGCGGGTACTTTTAGCATCCTTGTAACTGGTAGGATAATAACATAAAACATGAGTGAATATATTTATCTGGAAGGTTGTGTTTCATATTGCGATGAGTAAGAAGCAAAAATATTTCGTATTATGACTTTGTGATTTTCATTCTCTATATTTTTAATCTACCTTTTGGTCTAAGGGAATTTTGATTCTCTCTTTTATTCATACAGGCTTCAAGGGTTTTGAAGTTGGAAAGAAATAGTCTTCAATTTCTTCTGCAACATTTTTGTGGAGTTACTGCGAATAAAGAGTGTGAAATTATTCAATCTGGTCATTTAATCCTTCTTGTTCTTTCTGGCTATCTTCTTCGCACTGTTATTTCAACTTTTGTTTTGTTCACTGGCTGCAGGTACCAAAATGCTGACTGGAGAATACGACCACTTCCAGATGAAATGATCAGGTTACATCCATTATCTCTCATGTCTCCTTTCATTTTTGTTGTGTTGGATCTCATATTTTGGATTCTGTGGCAGATATGCAAGAGAAGATACACACTATCTTTTGTATATTTACGATTTGATGAGACTTCAATTACAAACAGTACCCAAGAAAGATGAGCAATCTGACTCTCCTCTGATTGAGGTAATTGTGAAATTATGTTAGGAGTGTTTTTCCCTATTGATATGTTTGTTCCGCATATGGTATTTACATATGGAATGGAGAATATGCTTTTCTTTAATTGTTTTCCTCTTATTGTGTTGGTTAATTATTCTCTTCTTCTTTAGAATTCCCATAGATCAGTCGATGAGTTCCATTCTAGTACATTTTGTCTTTTAGGGTTGCGTTTGGCCCATGGTTTGGCAAATGATTTTGACCTAGTTTCGGTTAATCTTTCATCAAATTATGTCAGAGGCTCAGAGCCATGGAACACAGTTATATTGGCTTTCCATCATTTTTCTGATGGCCTTAGTTGTCATTTCCATCTGTTGTTTTTCTGCTGCTCAAGGTATCTCTTGAAGTTGTTTTGGTCATCGTTGTGGTCTTTGATATCCATCGTGTGGGAGGGACGTGTTTTCATTACGAGTCTCCTTGATGCATTTCACATGCATATCGTAGTTATCAGTCTTCTTGGCACAATAACATCTCTTGTTTTTCTACATTTTTTTTTTTTTGCATTATGTGCATGGTTATTGTTCAGGAAGATTATGCTTTTCCTTTATCTTTGTTTTGAATTATTCAATTTCGACTAACTTTATCATTGGTGACAGGTCTACAAGCGTAGCTATGATGTGTGCATGCAATTATATGAGAAAGAGCTTTTGACCGAGAATTCATACCTTCACATATATGGGTTTGTTGTATACCATGTGCTTAATTTTTTGTTTCTGTAGCCACTGCACTTGCGTTCATTGAATTAACCTCTGCTATTCATTCTTAATGCAAAAGTTATTTGTGGGCTCTTTCTCCCAAATCTCAAACCATTGTAACTGAAACTAATTTGCTGCCTTGTTTTTTTTACCATGCTGTCAATATGTTAGGCTTCAAGGAGCTGGCTTTAATGCAGTTCAACTTGCCATTGTTTCGGTATTTTCTTATCTACAACTATCAATCATTCATCTAGATTTTCATATATCGTGACGCACTTAAATAATATTAACCACCTTTTAGGGACTCTGCCAATGGCGTGATGCCATTGCACGTGCGGAGGATGAGAGCACTGGTTATGTGTTGCCAAATAAAACTCTGCTTGACATAGGTTAAACACTTGTTTTAAAACTCTGGCCCTGAATTTTGCTTTTTCGATATCGCAGAGTTTCTCACTTGTTTTTGTCATAATAGCCAAGGAGATGCCTGTTACTACTAGCAAACTTCGTCGATTGTTGAAGTCAAGACACCTTTATATCGAACGGAATATTGACTCAGTGATCAGTGTCATCAGGCAATCAATGCAAAACGCTTCAGCATTCGAGGCTACTGTTCAATCTTTGAAAGAAGGGCGGCTTGAAACTGTGAGATTTCTCCCTTGTTTTGGTTTTTTATATTAATTTTGAATTTGAAACGCATGTACTTACATATTCCTTTTCTTTATCTTAGGTCTCGTATAAGAATAGCAAGCCTACCCCCAAAGGAATAGACGAGTCTTCTCGGGCAGGAGATGCAGTCTCTCCAAAATCGAAGGAGAGGTCCTTGCAGGGCGTAAGTAATAACAACAGCTTCAGCACGGTATCGGTAAATACTGATGAAGGGAGAGGTCTAGCTGCAGGCTTGTTTAGTTCGGAAAAGGTGATTTTCTTCATTGTTATTGTTTAGTAAAACTTTGGTCGGAACCTCATTTCCGTCTAGCCCTGGACTCGGACATTGGTCTTGTTTTTGTCAGGTTTCTGCAGCTGTTCAGATCTCGAAGACACCAAGCAGTGGTTTCGGGGCATTGTTGGGAAATGCAGCTTCGAAGAGGAAGTTCGGAACTGACAACAAGGTGAGTTAGATGTAGATGAGTACAGTTGCAGAGTTTCTTTTAAGGCAATGTTTGGCGAAAGCCCGTATGCAATTATAACCATTTTTGAAAAGGAAAATCAAGAAACCCGTTTGTGCGATCTAGATCGAGATTTTGTAGGAACTCTCGGTTGCTAATCTTTGATAACCCAACTTGCAGCCAAAGGAAAAGATCAAACTCGAACAGATAAGATCTTCGGTGAGCCTACCGTTCCATTCTTTTATGGATAAAAGTCTGGACCAAACATCTCAGATGGTCTCCAGAAAACCCGAAGGGGGTCCCACCAAACCAGTCTTTGTGTACAAGCCAGACAATGTAATAGTTCTGGTAGACGACTCAGACGAAGAGCCCTTGGGACCCCCAGTAGCACCATCTTCAGCATCAGTGACTCTAAAGTCCGAAATCTCTGGTTCCAAGTCCGAGGATGTTATACTTCTGGATGATAACTCTGACGAGGAACCTGAAACCGATGGCGAATCACGGACCTGTGATGCAGCAAAGGAAAAAGAATCTGCCCAGAAAGTGGATGGGGAAGATGGACCAATGTCGCTCTCCGAGGTCTCCTCAAAATTTCCGAAGTGCTTCAAGCAGAAGGAGAAGCCTTCGGCATTCATGAGTCTGAAACCCGGGTTTCTAAACTTAAAGCCGTACGATTATGAAGCAGCTGCAAGGAAGGAGATCAGATTCAGGGAACCCGAGAAAGGAGAAGGAGAAGGAAAAGGAAAAGCGAAAAGAAAGAGAGTTGGTGATTCGGAGGGTAAGAAAAAGGGCTTGGAAACGGTGAAGGTCGATGAGGCGACGGAGTTTGGGCAGGGAAAACGGCGTCAGGCATTTCCGGCGTCGGGAAACCGGAGTAAAACGTTCTTGAGTTAGAAAATGGTGGTGGTGAGAAGCTTGTTTCATAAACTCTTGAATCCGGTGAAAACAAACATTCCGATGATATTCAGAATTAGCGGGGTTAGTGTTTAGTGTTTCAGCTGTTTTGTTCTATTAGTATATGATCTTAGGAGCACAAATTATCACATGGTAAAATTTATTTTAATCATTTGTAGAAATAATTATAGGTAAGGCACCAAGATTTACAAAATGAAAGGCCAAAGTCAAAACTTCTCTCTCTCTCGTTCCATGAAATATTCCTCTACTTGATTAGATCTGCCCACACGACGACCCTGTATTGTATCTGCCCGTAATTTTTCCAAATATATCCGGGAATTCTGTTTTCATTGATATAAAAAAAAGGCTAATCGTCAAAAAAATCCTTTATTTTTTTAGATCAACGAAAAAAACCCTATACTTTTTTATTACCAATTAAACCCTACACTTGATATGATTAATTCATAGAACCCGTATTTTTTAAAAATTCACCGAAAATTTCCGTGAATGCCAACTCAAGCAAAAATGATGATGTGGCAATGACATGACATGAACACATCATCATAATTATACCATATCATCATTTTAAACAAAATTTAAATTAAATTAATATATAATATATATATTATAAATTATATTATAAATAATATATATATGTGTATTATTTTTTTAATATATATTGTGTGTATATATATTAGTTGTAATTATTTTTATTTTAATATACATATTAGTTGTATATATATGTTGCATGTATAACTAATATATATACATATACATATTATTTTTAATAGATATTATATATATGTTAATTATAATTACTTTTATTTTAATATATATACATTAATTATAATATATATTTATATTGTAGTGATGTGTATATATGTTTTATTAATTACAAATAATTTTATTTTAAATATATATGTATGTATGTGTGAATTTGTATGTATATATATTAATTTAATTTAAATTTTGTTTGAAATGATGATGTGGCATAATTATGATGATGTGTTCATGTCATGTCATTGTCACATCATCATTTTTGTTTGAGTTAGCATTTGCGGAGGATTTTCGATGAATTTTTAAAAAGTACAAGGTTTTATAAATTAATCACACCAAGTAAAAGGTTTAATTGGTAATAAAAAAGGTACCGGATTTTTTCGTTGACCTAGAAAAAGTACATGGTTTTTTTGGCGATTATCCCTAAAAAAATACTTATTTTTCAAATAAAATTTCAATTTTTTTGTTATATTTATATCCGATTCAGGTTCAGTTTGAACTTTTCGACGACGTCAAAACTGTGTAATTTGCCTTCATTGTGAAAGACAATCTCTTGGTCCAAAATCTGTTTCGGCTTCCATGTTCACAACCTATGATGATGTAAGGAGACGGAGACTTGGAACCCATCGTCGCTGTGTAATTTGCCTTCGTTGGTTTTGAAACTCGTCGATTTTAATGCGGATACGACTTTAGAGAGTATAATTAAATTCCTAAAAACTTTATTTTATCCTTTGCCGAATAAAAGAAATTATCAAAAATATATTTTTAAGACATAGAGATACTGATTTCGGTTTGCAATAATTATCACAGAAAAACTCGATGTTAGGTCAAAATGAAAGGAACAAACTCAGTTAACAAAAAAAAAAAAGGAACACACACACAATAATTTTTTATAGAAAATTATTCTAGCCAGATATCACTTCGAATCTCTCAAGAATTAAGTATATTTTCCTATCATTTTTTTTATGCCTATAATACATTCTCTTTATTGAAGATAAGAAAGAATATATTTCTCTTAAAGATAATTTTTCATAAAAAGAATCGTTTGTTTTCAATATATCACATACTTTTTTATTTGAATTAAACACAATTAATTAGATATCCATAACCACTATACTAAGAAACAAAACATGACAAATTTTGTTATAGTTTTCCAGCTATTTTAAAAAAAATGTTAATATTGTGTTAGTACTAAAATATGCAATGTGAAGGTCTAATAATAGCGAGTTACGTTGAGTCATTGTTTCACCCTTGACATTTTACATGGACATCAAAGTAACAAACAGTTCTTTTAATCACCTAATTTTAAAGTCCAATTGAGCGATTAATGCTTTCCGATGCAATTAATTGTTTTCAGTGTAGGGTTCGACTGGTTGTAACGCAGCGGTTGCGGTTGCGGGTGGCAGCGTTTTCAAAACGTTTGATAGCGATTATAAATGATTAGTACTGATTGGTTGAAAAGTTGCTGTTGGTAGCGATTGCGGGTGGGTGCAGTTAGAAGTGAATGGTTCATTACGATTGCGGTTGCGTTTTGATATAAATTGTCAAAAAAAAATATTATTTAAAAATATTTTTTTATAATAGTTTTAATTAAATTTTTCGTATCATTTGATAAAAATTATTTACTAAATTTATAATAATTAAATAATAAATTTAAAATATAAATATTATAAATTTAATTTATTTTCAAGTAAAAAAAATAATTTTATTATAAAATTATTAAAAATAATCATTATTAAATCTAAAAATTATACAATTGTATTTTTTATTAAAATATAATACTAAAAAATAATATCAAATCATAACATTAAACAAAATCATCACCAATATATATATTAATATTTTATATAATTTCTAATAAAAATATTTTAGTTTTTTTGTCAAAACGCCGGAAACCGCTACCAAAACGTAAGTTGGAAGCTGCGATTAGAAAACACAAGTTTGGTTGCGGTTGCGGTTGGTTGCGGTTCAACCATTCAGTTTTTCAATCGTCTGCAACCGCCGAAAATCGCAACCGCTCCGTTTGCGGGTGGCGGCGGTGCAACCAGTCGGCCCTGTAATCTCTATAACACGTGCCATTTCAGATCCCGATAAGAGATTTCCTCGTCATACTTTTCACATGTCCACACAAATGTTTCATATTTTTTTATTATAAAAAAATTCTATACTTATACTTATTCATCAGAATATACATATATTTTATAAAATCTAACAAAACGAACCGAACCCGATCGATATATATCTTAACTAAGTCGAACCGATTAAAATAATACACCACATTAGATATGAATATTTCAAATTCGAAATAAACAAACCCAAAATAACTGAACTGAACCCGAGCGATATGTATCCGAACCGAAATAAACCGATTAAAATAATATATCAGATTGGATTTGAATATTTCAAATCTGAAATAACCGAACCCAAATCGAATCCGACCGACATATACGTGAACCGAATCGAATCGATTAAAATAATATACCAGATTGAATATAAATATTTTAAATCCAAAATAACCGAACTCGAAATAACCATAAACCGAATAAACCGAACCTGAATTAACCGGATTCAGATATATTTTTTAAATATCCACTATATGTTTTTTGATATAATTGGATTCGGTTATTTCGGATTTGAAATATTCATATCCAATATGATATATTATTTTAATCGGTTCGGATATATATCGGTCGAATTCGATTCGATTATTCCGGGTTCAGTTATTTCGGATTTGAAATATTCATATCTAATTTGATATATTATTTTAATTAGTTCGATTTGCTTCAGGTATATATGAGTCAATTTCGGTTTGGTTATTTTGGGTTTAGTTATTTCGAATTTGAAATATTCATATCCAATGTGGTATATTATTTTAGTCGTTCGATTTGGTTTGGGTATATATCGATCGAGTTCAGTTTGATTATTTAGGGTTCGGTTATTTCAGATTTGAAATATTCATATCTAATCTGGTATATGATTTTAATCGATTCGATTCGGTCGGTCGGGTTCGGTTCGATTATTTATTTATTAAAATAATACCACATCAGATTTTTTACTGCATTTTTTTTGTATTTGTGTTTAGGAGTTTATTCGCTAAATTTTATAAAATATATGTATATTTCGGGAAATAAATACATGTATAGCGTTTTTTTATCGATAAGAAAAATAAAGACTTTTTTTTGCGATTTTACCTATTTTTATTTTTGGATGTATTTTAGGACATTAAATGAATTATGTGACCTTAGTGGAACAGTTCAAGTTCGAAGTTGTTGGGAGATGGGGAAGCGATTCCATTGGTTTTGCTGTCATTAGTATTAGTAGTTGCATTTTAAAACGTTTTAAAAATTAGTTTTTTATTATTATAATTCATATATAGTTATAAGTCCATTTTAATTCACCTTTTGGTCTGTGTGATATACGTCTACTAATTTGTGTTTTCAAAATTCTATAAAATAAATTTCAATGGTAGTTTTTTTTCTATCCAAAAATAAATTATATGACGAAAGAAAAACAAAATCCTAACTATTTTACTCGTCAAACTATTTCATTGTACAATACAATATGGAACTAAAAAAAGGTTCTAATATATATGTAATTAAGATTCAGGTTTTACAATGAAATATTTTTTGAAGAATAAAACAGTTAATATTCTAATATTTATTATATGTTACACAAAGGCAGGAAATATTATAATAATTTTGTATATATATGTATATATGAATAAGCATGCAATCCATGCTAAATTTTTATGTTTTAATGAATTTTAATTGGGACACTATTGGAAGAGTTGAATCTATTAGGAGTTGGGGAAACGATGCGATTGGTTTTGTTATTACTCGTTTCTAACCCTTTTTCACAACTCTTTATTTTTACACTTCATATTATGTTAAACTTGAATTTAAAAGTTTTTTAGTTTATTAAAAACATCTATATTGATTTATTTTTGAATTTATAATATATACATATATATATATATATAAACTAATTATGTTATTGTTCATATGTAATTTTGTGCCTAATATAACTTCACCTTTTGGGTTTTGGCATTCAATCAAATACATCTATCACTAATTAATATTTATTAAGTCTCCTATTTCCCCCAATCTAATAGAGTTAGTACTTTCAATATTTTATAAAATAAAATTTTAATAATTTTTTCTTTTTTTTAACCGTAAAACAAATTATAGAAAGAGAAAGGAAATCCTAACTGTTTTATTAATCAAAATTATATAATGTGTAATATTAGAACTAAATAAACATTATGATACATATTATAATAGTAGCTTGTATATTATGCTACATTCTGTTTGAATTTAGGTTTTTATAAACCAAATACTAAAAAATTAATTTATCTGACTATTGGTTTAAAGGTTTAGTTAATTTTTAAAATTGTATTATATTTTTAAAAACTAAATTAATTTTTGAAATCATATTATATTTAAAAAACTGTGGATGATATAATTGATTTTTAAAATCGTATTATATTTTACAAACTACAATAATATTTATCATTTTTATCAAACCTTTACTTTTGTTCTCCTTTAAATATGGTTAGTCTATTAATTGCAAAAAATAATTGTTAAATACAAAGTTTAAGATTTTTTTAAGATATTTTTAGATTGTTATATTTTTAAAATGATGTATTAGTATTTTTTTCTTAAATTATATAACAGATACTTTTGATCAAATATACCTATCCCAGATATATTGATGCAAAAAAAAAAAGAAAATATCTGAGTCGCGAATTGATCTATATTTTATCGAGTTGGATTCAGAAAATTTGAATCCGAAAAAAAAGACCAGACAAATCATTTATTAATTATTTCAAATTAGCCTCTAAATATATATGAAATTACCTTTAACACATAAATATATCCGTTTTACAATTTAGCATGAATTCAATATCAGTTTCAGATCAATTTTATTTGAATTTAAATTGGAATTTATAACTAAATTGTATTAGTTAATGATATCATTTAAACCACCAATTCTAGTTATCTAGGTCATACAAAATTATTATAGTTATGAACATCATTTAAACATATCAAGTTACCATAGATTCAAAAATCCATTTTAGGATTACAAAAAACTCAAACCGTGTTCTTTGATTCTAGAAAATCTTATATTGATTTTTAAATTTATTAAAATCCATAAATATTTGAACGATAATGACTTCGAAAGTTAAGGAGAAGGAAATCAATGACAATAACGTGATTTTTGAGTTCTTATTTTATTGATTTGTTTCGATTACATAATTTTTGGAATATTTGCAAGATAATACGGTTCATATTTACATAGGAAATGTTATAATAAATTCTATTATTCGTTAAGTCGTATATATATATATATATATATATATATATATATATGCATGTAATCCATGCTTAGAAATTTAATTTTGACTATTGAAACTTAGTCAGAACATATTTGGACATTTAAAAATAAAGTTGAAGATGTTAGCGGTTGCGGAAATGATGCGATTGGTTTCCTTGTTGTTAGTGAATTAATGCTTACGATCTCCATCATGAAATTTTACATTTTTTTTTACAGTGGTTGAATTTAAATGTTTTGTAGTTTATTAAAAATCTGTATGAATCAATATCTAAAATTAATAAAATATAATGTTATAACTCATACATAATGGTATGTTTAATATACACATATTAATTTTTAATAATTTTATAAGTCGAAGTATCTTCTTTCATTATCCAATAGGACCAATAGATGTGTAACAAAATAGAATTAGTATTTTAGAGACGAAATTTTAATAGCTTTTCAAAATCCGACCTGTTTTATTTTTTAAAATAATTTCATTGAACAATATAAAAAAAAGACAAATCACATATAAATATCTAAATTTTTACAAATAAATACATGAAATATAAAACTTCAATACAAATATCTTAAACTTTTCAAAAATCCCATATATATGCACACACCCATATACACATACTTAAACATATATAACATATACATATATATATATATATATAGCGCAGACACGCACACATTCATATACACCTATAAATATGCATATAAACATAAATCACTTTCATTAGCTTTTACAACTTATCACCATATTACCATCATTTCTAAGATTTGTTTACCAAATCACCCCTAAATCATTTGGAAATCACCACTAACTTTATTTCATTTACATGAATAATCAACGTCTTCTCTAATACACCAGAATTTTGGGTATGATTCAGTTTTCGGATTCAAATCTCAAAAGCATGAAGGGCTGTTCTTCAAGGCAGAAACAAAACACCAAACCAAACCCTGGAACAGTTGAAATAGCACCAAGAGAAACTCGTGAGATGATGGAAACATTTTAAGTCTCGGCATCGTTTTGGTCAGTCGGCTGTCCAGCTCTGCTCCACAATCTCCCGAACCCTCCGGTTATATTCTCGCTTGTTTTCGCTGAACATCCGGGCTGCTTCTGAGTTCGCAGGGGAGTTTGGATTCGGATCACATAGCAGAGACTGCCAAGAAAAAAAATCCGTAAAATGGTTGTACGGCCGGGAACCAAGTTCTTAGAGAAAAGGTATTAGGGGTGGACAAACGGTTCTGTTATTTAAAAACCAAACCAAATCATAACCTAATCGAGCTTACTATTATAAACAAATAGAACCGAACCAAATTTAGATTTGGTATCACATTGATTGCAACTTTAATTAGATATAACCGAACCGAACTGAATATAATTAAATAACCGTTTGGTTATGAATCCTCAGAACCCTAAATAACTGAACCCAAATTTAACTGTAACTGAATAAAAAACCAAACCGAACCGTTCGCCCACCTCATGTGTTATATAGTTCATCACACTCCTAATAAATCTATCTTTTTCTTTCACATTTAACAATTACTACATGAGAACACATGCAACAAAACATGAATATACGGTGTAAATATGAACAAAGAATCAAGAAACCGGACCAGCAAAGGGATATGATTCAGCTCAAGAAGACAGGGTTTTAGCCAAAACAGAGTACCCAGCAACAGCAAATGCACTTGGAGAGGCGGTTCAGTCTTTTGCTACTAATGTCTGCTGTCCTATGTCTTTTTCTTTCATGCTTTCCTTTTTTCAGTTTTCTTTTCTAACAAGTATGATTAATATATGCATGGACTTTTATGAGAAAAAACAAAGAGAGAGAGAGACCGCCGCTGCACTTGACGCAATTCGAGCAAATTACTCTACCATCCAACAATTTGACAGATTGGAAACAAGGCAGTACCTGGATAGACGTGAGTATGGCTGCAACATCGTAAATTGGGCTCCACTGATTTTGCAAAATATCCAGGCAAATACTACCATCGGCATATACTGAAAGTATAGAACTTATAGATTCATGAGAGACCATCAAATTTCCCAAGGGACAGCATCGGATAAGCTGAATCAGAGTGACTTACTGTTTGGATGAAACATCCGCGAAACAAAACGGACAGTTGGAGGCTTATTTGGGTAGTCCTCCGAAAACTGGAGGGTTAACTTAAAAGTTCCTGAAGAAGCGCAAAAAAATTGATCCAGACGGATGTTATCACAGAAATATTCAATCAATAAGAACATATAAATGGGATTAGCAGCCCATCAATCACTGAGAAGTACCGACGATGCCCAGTAGTAAAATTAAACCCAACAAAACCCAGGAATATGAATTGTATGTCTATGTAACGAGGAAGAAGATATGTATACGAAGAATCAAGAGCTTCATGACAACTTGTAGAAGAGAGTCAGGAAGAACACTAGGGAAGAAAATACATAGTGGAAACCAATATGTCAGTCAGAATATAACGAGCAAATAGAAGAAACTATCATGAAACACACAAGATATTAGGCTAAATCAGAGCCATACACAAAAGAAAATACAACCCTAAAGTTATAAAATGGATCATTCTCGGTAGAAATGGATCAAAAGGGGAAAGAAATACAGAAAACGCCATTTAAACACACAAGGTTCACTGAAAACCCAAAAGTCCACCATATTCTTTAACATGTGTGTGAATTAAACAATTGGAACCAAATTGAAATGAGAAACGACGGAATCGAAATCACACCTCCGTCCCATGGGGTATCCTCAGGCCTGCAAAAAAGAAGCCAACAAAATCAAGAGAAATTGGAGATTCAATGGAAACCCAGAACAGAGAAACAAACACAAAGCACAAGCGAATCCGAATTTCAAACATACCCAGAAGGGAAAATCGAAGAAATTAAAAGCATACCACAAGGGACAACCAAATCAAAGAAATTCTCAGAACACGAAATCAGAGGATCGGGGGGGGGGGGGGGGGGAGGAAAACTATAATTCATGACATACCCAGACGGAGAAATCACAAATCGAATCGAGATCACGCATACCCAAGTCAGAATTAGAAGAATCGAAAGATAGGGGATGGGGGAATCACCCGAAGATAACAGCGTTCCAGAACATGATGTTGTTGTCCTGAGGAGCACCGCTTATTCCAGCAGGTGGATCCTGTTGAAGCCTCTTGAAATCCCTCATCAGCCGCTTCCTCGCCGGCGTCGACATGGTTTCGCCGCCGTTGGGGAGAGAGAGAGACGAGATTTGTGGGCAATGGGAAGAGAGAGATATAAAGAAAAATCTCACGCTATTGAGGACGAGACACCTACGAAGCTTCCTTTTTTTTCTTCTCCTCTGTTTCGACGTCGCTGAATTTTGCGTAGAGGTGGCCGTTTCGGTTCGAGAATTTGGTTCCGAACCGGTTCGAATCGAAATCTGATCGGAGCAAATTGAACCGAGCTTCTAATTGGGTATAATTTTTTTTATAATCTTTTAACATAATTGGTGGTTATTTCCATGGGGTTCTATCAAATCTTATAACTTTGAGATCTAATTATCTATTAAGAACATCGGTGCTTGTAAAATAAATATTGATTTTTGAATTACAAGGATAACTGGTTCAAAGGTGATATTTTATTTTCCTTAAGAACATAATTTTAATTTATTTATATAATATTCATCCATCTTTAGATCATTTCTGTAAAATTATATAATGATTTTAAAATTTACGGTATTCTTACAATCCATTTTTCCGTCGTATTTTTTAACTTAAAAATTTATACATTTTAGGTAATTACCATGCGCACAATGTATCGGTATGCATAACCGTGTATATTACGAAGATCGAACCGAATCATAAACTCGCGTCGAAGCAACGCAACGCGGAACGCAGAACGCTAAAACGCTTATTTATTTTGGCCATAAACCGCGCTTCTTAGATTCTCTTTTTTCCTTCACGCGGGCGCGAGCGAGCATGGCTGCTTCTCTGTCTTCTCTTTCTCCTCGAATATCTCTTCTACTCCTCCTCTTTTTGGGCGCGTTCTGGTTCGTGATCGAGGCGCACGCTTTGGGAGAAATTTCAGGGCTCAAAGGTAGTGTGTTACTGTTGCCCACTCTGTTCCTGTTACGGTCCGACTCCATAGTTTGCTTCTCTGCATCTCTGTGATTTCTGATTGTCCTGACGTGTTTAGTTGATACTGTCGCTTTTTATTTTCTTCGTTCGTGCATAACTTTAGGGCAAGTGAGAAATTTTCGGTTTTTCTCCCACAATGTCAGTGGTTTTTCATTTGTAGGGTTTGGGATTCTGGAATTTGCTGAAACCTGCACAAATTAGAAGCTCTTACTTGTAAATTGGGAACCTTTTACTTGGAAACCTTAATTTGGCCACGCTTTTTTCGTATGACAGATGGGAAATTGAAGGATGATCAGGGGAAATTCGTTTTCTGTATCTATGGACTTGCAGTTTCAATGGTACTTTAACGAATTGGGGATGCTAAATAACTGCGACCCGTTCGGATTTGGGAACTGGGTTTTGGTTTTCTTCGTTTAGTTCTTTATTTCAGTATATTGCTCGAGTTTGAGCTTTGCTCTGTGAAGATGTTTCATGGGGCTTTGATGGTTTTGTACCTTTAGGGTGGAAGCAGCTTTTGTTTAGTTTTAATTATTTTTTAGTGGAATCTTGAAAATTTAGTTGTTTAATCCAACGCAAGTGATAGGTTTCACTCTAGGTTCTATTTCCTCTAAAGCTGAAACGCTTTCAGATTCAAGCTCAGTGTTCTTGTTTTCTTCAAATTGCGAAAAGAATTAGTTTGTGAATAGAGCATTCATGTTCTAGGATTCATCAGTCTACTTCTTCTCTTTTATTTCATGTTGAAATAGGAAACCTTAGTAGTTGTAATAATATGGTGTCTCATATATTTCAGAATATAGTATTGGATATGGAGTACAAGCTCTTAGCTGAAAGTTTGCTGTTCGATTCAGTTAAAACCTTCTTTCTGCAGTTGTTAGGCTAAGGCTTGAGAAAGCTTAGAGCCTGGCATGTAACCTAATCTTCATTTTGGTTCATGTTTCTGCCTGCTTAGTTGCATTCATCTTTCAGCTGCTTTTAATTGACATTTTGATTTCAAATCTCAGGTGTTGGTCCAGGCGATCCAGTGCTGAATGTCAGTCTTATTCCTCTCGTTAGGAAGCAATCTGTTCATGGGGTTAAGGAAGTTATATCATGTGAACGGGTTCAAGTTTCTGGTTATTCAAGAACGAAAATGGGGAAATATGCCAATTCTTTTAGGGTAAAATTAGCTCCAACAGCAACAATTCCAGAGAGACTACACAGTAAAATTCAGGCTTGCTTCCACCGGTAGGTAAAATCAAATCTGTAACTTGACTTCTGTATTCTTACTGTTTCTCTTCGACCTAGTTGGATAGTTTCTAATTTCAAGTGTAAAGAAATCGGTAAGGAGGCTTGAATCTCATATTTTTATGGTCTTCCAGGAATGCTTCACTTGGAATGTGTGAGTGTGAGAAAGATGATTGGAGAACTCTTCAGAAGGGGCTTTGGAGCTCTGTCATGTCACCATATGATAAAAAATACATTGATGTGAAGTTTGGTGGTGAATCATCTGGTTCAGTTTCCATCTCTGTGGAAGAAGGTCTCTCTCTCTCTATCTCTCTCATCTAGATCATTTTCCTTTGTACTGTCTTGCCTTAAGATGACTATTGTTTTCTTTATTATTATGTTTTCGTTCTGCAGATTTTCAGCAATGGCGTCTCGTATGTCTCTTGATTGGGTTCATCATGCTTTTGATAGCCCCAATCGTCAGCAGCTGGCTTCCATTTTACTATAGCAGTTCAATGGCTGTTGGGGTTTTCCTCGTCATTCTAATTCTTCTTTTCCAGGTAATTTTCTCCCCGTCTGCTAAAAGTTTTGATTTTTTTTTCTGATCTTTATATGTAGATTGAGTACATTCATACAGGCCTAAGGACAAAGTAGCATGAAATACTGCGGGATATATTTACATTCGACTGACTAGAAAAATAGTTCATGAGTTACTTGAGGACATTGGTTGAGTTCGGAATACTATTTCTGTTTTTAGAGACATAAATGAGATGGCATTTCAAAGTTATTCCATTTTAGCTAATCTATCAGCTCAAACAACTATAGTTTCACTTTCCAAAATTCCTTGCTTTTTTTCTTCCTATCTGGATTCTGGTCTCATCCCATCTGTTTGTTTCATTACAAATTCGTTTTGCAGGGTATGAAGTTATTGCCTACTGGAAGAAAAAACTTCCTGTATCTTGCATTCTACGGATCAGTGGTGAGTATAGTTTTCCATATGCTTCTTTTCATTATCTTTTTCTTTTCTTTTTGGTAGCAGTCATCTACATAAAAAGTTCTTACTTTAAAATTATTGTTTCAGTTGGGAGCTGGATCTTTTATTCTACATCAGTTCTCAGTGATGGTGAACATGATTCTGATCAGTTTTGGGCTGAGCGAAGACATGTACAATCCTGTAAGACGCTATCATCCCATTTCTATCATTGATGCTTCAAAATTCTTTCCCTGCTTTTCTAACAAAAATGACTATTCTTGAAAAATTGTCTGTCATGGGTTTGTTTTGGTATCCCATGGTTCTTTCCTCCTTAGATATGAAACAGCAGTTGCTTCTTCATTTTTCTAGGAGAGAACCAGGAAAAAAAAAACCTAGGTAGATGTCAATAAATATCCAATTGGGGTTGAAATTCACATGGAAAGAGTTACAAACCGTAAACGGTTAATGTGTAAGCCAAAGCTGATGATGTTTTGCAGGTTGCAGTGCTTGTCTTTGTGGGAATTATCATTGCCGGGGCTGCTTTAGGATTCTGGACAGTGAGGAAATTTGTGATTTCAGCAGACGGAGGTGTTGATGCTAGTGTTGCCCAATTTGTGAAATGGGCAATGCGTACGATTGCAACCACGTTCATTTTTCAGGTATAGCTTGTCATTTTTATTGTGCCTGTTCATACTAAGTCTACATTCTCTCTCTTTAAATGCTTCTGGTCTTCTATTTCAGAGCACTCTTGATACCCCTTTGGCGATGGGAGCTTTGGTTGCATCTAGCGCCTTCTGCTTTCTCATCAGCAAGATGACGTGGAAAAGGTATCTGTAAGTTCATCTTGCTTCTCTTGGATTACTTTTAGCTTAGTAAATAGTATTAGTTCGAACCAGATGAAAAAAGTTACCATAGTTTCATTCAAATTCATGGTCATTCCATGAGCTATGAACCCTAATGGTATCCGATGGATAGGTTAGCTATATTGGACAATTAAAACATCATATAATTGAGGGAATTGTCTGACATATTAGAGACTGACGTATTTTGAGACTGTACAATTAAATGTTTCATTTGTAAAACGTAGGAAAAATCTTGAATATCAGACACATCGGCAGCTCGTATCTGGAAAGAAACTCGCTAAGCATGGACGAGTTGAATTTCTTAGCAGGTCGTCTCAACTAAGCCCTGGAGGAAGACTATGGAGCAGTCCGAGGAATGTACCTTCCTTCTCCGACTCACCTGTTGGAGGTATGCTTTTCTATACATCCTTGCACCTGTCAACCACGGTGATAAGCACTGCAGGTTCTTTGACTTAGTACCATAAGTACATCACTTGTTGGGTCGATAGAGAACCTTTTCTTCTCTGTCTATATGAATCCATTATGAATCGACATTATTAAATTTCAATTCTTTACCAATATCCCTCAAGGAAAATCCTTTTCTCAAACATCAGACATTTCATTCTGGTCACAAATGAAATCATTCTATATCATTTTCCTAGCAGTCCAAACTTTTCTGGACCATCAACCAAACCCATTCTCGAGAATGAATTCCTGCATTTGTCCAGTTCGTAAAGGGTACTCTTCGTTCTGGGCTTTCCAATAAAGTCTCAACCTTTTTGGGGAATTAACATCTTCATTATCTGTAACAGGTATGATTTCACCGTCATCCTCTGCTAGACGACGCAGAACAATCCAGCGGGATTTCTATTCGACATATCACAAGACACCGAACAGGAAGAAGTTCACAAAGAAAGAGTGGGAAGAGTTGACACGTGAATCGACCCGGGAAGCGATGGCGGGACTTGCAGCTTCCCCTGAATTCACTGATTGGGTCATTGAGCATGCTGACAGGATCCAGCTTCTTCCCAGCGAAAGCTCTGACGACACTGTGGGAAGTGAATCGGATTCTACGGGTGACGATGTTTTTGAAAAGTGGAAACGCTTCGGCTTGTCGGGCTGGTAAGAGCGTTCGGGTTTGAGCCAACTTCATCTACATTCCATAGGTCTTCTCTTATCATGATCTCGACATAGATATAACTTATCGAAAGAGCTGTATAATCGATTTTGGTTACCTCTTTACTGACGTCTAACATCATCTAGATGAAAAGGGTTTAAACGGTATAGAGGGTTCAAAGGTTTAGGGTTTAGCTGCTTAGAGCTTAGGTTCTTTGTTCAGTTTTTTTTTTTTTTTTTTTTTTGGCGCTTTGGCTTTGATGAAATTTGTGTATCAAATCCAAAAATTGTGGGCGAATAAGAAAATATTATTTGGATATTCATTTCATTGTAAAAGAAACAATAGAGGAGGTTTATTTAATGGGGAATCAATTTTTTTTTATCTCAATGATTCGTATTTGAGTTGTAATTAAGAAAGGTTTATTATTGTTTAGGGGCGTTGAGATGTCCCGTACGGAAGTTTGAAATTGCAGTTTGTTGAAAATATAATTATTTAATAATTTCACAAAGTATATCTTTCAATAACATAATCTGTTTTATTACATAACAAAATAGACTACCAAGAGACTCAATGAAAGACGAGTAAAGATCAACCCCTTCAAAGTCAGACGTGTTTTTTTAACATATCATTTTCAAGTTTAGCATCAATTATTAATTTTAATAATAAAAAATCATTTTTTTGGTAAAGTTATAAAAAGAATTTTGCTTTTTCGCTCTTAAAACAATTATAACTATTTAATTTTTATATCAATTCGATTTCATTATAATTATATATTATCTTATTCGGAGTGATTCGATTTATACGTAATGAACCGAATGTCCACCTGTGATTATACCATTGAAAGGCTTTTGCTTAGCAGTTGTGTAACAATTCTCTGTGGAATATATAATTATTAAATTGATGGGTGATGAAATTAATAGTTGTAGACTAATTCGACGATTTTTAAAATGTTAAAATATTTATATAGTATTTTTAAAATTCATATAATTTTTGAGAATTTTGTATACTAATTAACACCGAGGCCGGTCTAAAGAGTGACGTTATCTTTTAGAACCTTTGACTCTTCATAAATTTCGGCGGCCATTTCGTGTTCTCAGTTCTTATCCATAAAAATTAATACTTCCTCTATTTAATTTTATTTGACGTTTTAGTTTTTAACACGTATATTAAAAAAATAAAATTTTATCTAAAATATTCCTTTTTAATTATGATATTTTTATTTTTTCTCTTATACAATACTGTAATTATCTATTATTAATAAAGGATAATTTCGAAAAAAAATATAAAAAAGTACATAAAAATATCAAAACGTCATTTATTTTAAAACAAAAAAATGTCTCCAAAACGTCACGTAAAATTAAACTGAGTATATATGTATCTACGTGTATACGTGTATATATATGTATACACGTGTATATGTTTTAAATCAAACTTTTGCTGCATCAGATTTTTTTTAATGCAAAAAAGTCCATTGGGTTTGCTTGGAAATATAAAACACAATTTATTATATTTTGTAATAAAATGGTCGGTTGGTACGAAACCCAAGGTAACTGTGTTTCTATATCTTTCGGAATTTATTGATTTGTAATACTATTATGATATTTTTAGGAGATGAAACGACTTCCCGAAAATCATAAATACAACATGAATTTATGAATATTTTAGTAAAACGATTTTGGATTAGCAACAATATTGTAAAAAAAAAATTGTACATGGAATTATTAGTCACAAGATTTGGAAAAAAAAGGTCCTTTAACAAAAACTATTCATTTTTTACATAATTTTCTTTGTAGTGATTCTTAACCAAACCAAAGTTAAATTCAATAGAATCAAATTAAATAGATTGTAATTTGATATAATCTGATTTTTGTATCAAAATAAACTAAACTAAAAAATTGAAAGGAAGGAGCTTTTATTTCGGATGGATTAAGTTTTTATTTCGAGTTTTTGGATTTAGTTTTTAGTCTTAAGATTTCAGTCTTTAATAGAAGAGGTTTTTTGGAGTTTTAGATTTTTGGTTCTTAGATTTTGGTCTATAATGGAAGAAATTTTTGGAGTTGTTAGAGTTTTTGGATTTTAAAAACAAAAAAAAAATAACCAATTTTTATAAAGTTGATTTTCCTAAACAGTTGGAAAACCAATTTGATAAAAAAAAAATCAACTGAAAACTTGTATGATTTTCGAAAGAATTTTTGTAAGTTTCGTTCATTTTTTGTTACGTATCTTATAGTTATGGTAAATTAGTTTAATAAATAAAAATTATTTGGTAACCGATATTTGCATATAAATTTACAACTTATAATAAAAAGAAAGAAACTTTTTTATAAAATCTTTTTTTTTTCTCTCGATAGATTACAAATCGGAATTAAATATCTTTTTGGAAATATATAGACTTTGAAATATCTTTTATTATTTTGAGTTTTCGACTTTTTGTTTTTAGAAATTTCAAAACAAAATTAGTTTTCAATTAATTTTTATTAAAATATCTTTCTAAATTTGTAGAGAAACTAATTTTATAAAAACTTGATTATCAATTTTTTTAAGTTTTATATTTTAAAAATCCAAAAATCCACTTCGATTGAAGGCCATAACTGAGAGAAATAAATGAAGTGTAGGCGTAGGTGTGATTGAAACTGCAACTTGGCGAATCCCTTCATAAATCAGAGCAACAGTCATATGGAACTGCATACAGAATCCAAGAAGGCCCCAGCCGTCTACTTTCACATGGGGCCCACATTCACCGTTTAGGAGCTCCTGCCACTCAGCTCAGCCATTGATATAATGACACGTGTACATCGTGTGAAGAAATTCAAAGTAGATATTTACAGTTTTTCTAATAATTGGTATATAATTAGACGAATAGTTTTTTGATGTGGAAATGCAGATTTATTTTTGCAATAGAGAAGGGTAGGATGGATAACAAAAAACAGTCACCACATGGCCTATAAATTAGATGAATGGGTAAGAATTTATTACATGTATAGGAAATATATATATAGACATTATATAGTAAATTTAATATGGTGGTAGAATCTTTATATTTTAAAATTTCATACAAACTCCTTTTTATGATTAAAAAAATAGCGGTTTAAACAGGTTGCCAAAAAATGTGTTAATGTAATTGGTATCATGGAGAATTATAATTTCAAGAAAAAAAAAGAGATGTTTGGAATAAAGTTAAACATATACATTCCATAAATGTAATAACTCAATCGATATCTTTATTTTCATTTTCAATGAATTTAATCCGATTTGACAACATTTTTTTATTCTATTACAATCCGGGTGGTTTAATCTAGGGATGAACTCATTTCAGGTTACAATTTTCTTTTCAATTTTTGAATTAGTTTTTTTAGAGTGTAAAACTATGTATACTTAATTCTAATTCAAATTTAAAGCTCGATTTAGATTTATTTCTTATTAAGATAAATTTAAATCAATTTTCCTTTTAGTTATTCTGATTCTATGTAAATTAATTAATTTAATATATTTGAACTCATTTCTAAATATATTTTTAGATTTTAATATAATTTACTTTTATGCTCCCCAAATAAAAATACAAATAATCATCCCTATTTTAAATAACTGCGTGAAAAAAAAAATAGAAAACTCCTTTCACTTCACATAGATTAAGAAACAAGAAAAAAAGAACTTCCTTTTTTTTAACTTTTTATTTCTATAAACTAACAATGTAGAGTGTCACAATTTAAATGCAAAAACAGATGAAACAAATATATCCGAAAATGACAAATTTTAGATTTCAAATAACGCTTGTTCCAAATAATAATCTATTTTAGTGCATGCAACAAAATTTTGGTTTAGTTAACAAAGAAGATATTTCTTTCTTTCACAATTTAAAATTTTAATTAAATAAATCTAACTTTCTAAATCGTATTCTATAAATACTATACATTATTATAACAATCTAGAATATTTTAAATTAATTAATTTCATTCGGATTGCACATATATTTTAAGAGCAAGCAAGCTAAATCCGAATCTCAACGGATTATAAATGCAAGAAGTTACTAAAATAATGTGTAAAGTGCGAAGAGGGTGTAAAGTAATAAAAATGGCATATAATTTAATTTTGAGTAATAAAATATATAAAATAAAAATAAGTGAATGGTGGAAGGGATAATTGGTTGAAACATAAGGGGTATTTCCGGGAATGCGTGAAACCGTCAGACGTCAGTGGCTCGTCTTCTCACGCGACAATAATTTTCATTTCCTTAAATAAATCATTTCTTCACCTCTTCCGCTTTTATACGAAATCCAAGTTCGTTCTTCCTCGGTTCCCGTCATCCAAAATCACTGCCCGCTTCTCCTCTCCGGGTCGTTGATGGTTCTGAATTGATCCAAAAGGAAGTAAAAATTCGAAAACTTCGAGGGAAGCCGGGATTCTTCGATCGAAGGGGAAGGCGGGCGGATTAGGATTTTCTTACTCTGTAATTGTATAAATATCTAGAATTTATTTGGGAAATTTTTAGATTAAGGGCTAGTTATCAGGTTTCATTAGTAGTATTCACGGAATTTGTGATAATCGGGTCGAAGGGATTTTAATTTTCTGGGATTTGTTCGATGGGTTTTTTGGTGGATACGCAAAAGGAAGGCGGAGGCCATTCATGGGGTTGCGTGAGGAGCTTGGTTAGAAGGAAACAGGTCGACTCTGCTCATGCTAAATCTGAGGGTCATCATCAGTTGGCTAAGGCTTTGACAGTTCCTCACTTGATAGCCATAGGTGAATTATCTTTTAGATTTGGTTCTTGGCCTCGATTTGATCCGATATTTTTGTCCTTATGGGCACTTTTTGTTGTTTTCTCTGGGTTTAATTGTGTTTTGGGATACAAAATCTGATCTGGGTTTCGAAAAAATCTGGGTTCTTTTGAGATATAAATATTGTTTCATCTTCTAGTGGTCTATCAAGAATGGCTGGAAATATTACCCTTGTTTTGAAGGAGTTCTTCTGTCTGATTTCTTGTCTCATCTTAATGTTAATTTCGTCTTGCGTGATAGAAGCTCAGGGTTTTTAGGAGTTTTCTGTTTATGGGTTTTCTCATGTTTAAAAGATAGATACTTTTTTTTTGTGTGTGGATTGTAATTCGTTGTTCATACAAAGTTTTAAGTTGCATTGTAAAGGACTGTTGCTTTGTTTACTCTGTGAATTTCCTGAATTTTCTTGTGATGATAATGCTCCTAGAACTGGTGGAACTAAGAATGTCTGAATTACTCAGCCTTTTAGTTCGATTTTAATGCAAGTTTTTGGCTTTATCATGATGTAGAAAGGTTCTTCACTAACTCCTATGTTTTTTCGTTTTAATCTTTTCTTTTGGGAGAAATTAACTGTTTGAGTTGTCTCACAAAATTAGGTGTTGGAGCAACAATAGGAGCCGGAGTTTATATTCTTGTTGGAACAGTTGCAAGAGAGCATTCAGGACCTGCTCTCACATTTTCGTTTCTTATAGCTGGAATTGCCGCTGCCCTCTCCGCCTTTTGCTATGCCGAACTCTCTAGTCGTTGTCCCTCGGCAGGGAGTGCTTATCACTACTCTTACATTTGCGTCGGTGAAGGGTACGTGCCTTTACTTGCATATCAATCCATAGGGCCTTCTATTTTCAGTTGTTATATTTGGCTAGTTTCATCTAAGTTGATGGATTTGAACGTGTATATTTGTTATATTATCTGAAATTTACTCATAGTCATTGCCTTTGCTTATGATTCCTGGGTGTTTTGTTGTTGCAGTGTCGCCTGGTTGATTGGTTGGGCGCTGATTCTGGAATACACAATCGGTGGTTCTGCTGTTGCCCGTGGCATATCCCCAAATCTGGTTTGTAACTTTGTGCTTTTTTACTTTTTGTTTGTGATTGATAAATATCGCTTGTCTCCTTACATAGTCCGGTTCATGAAGTGTATTCTTCAGGGATTTCATTTTTTGTTGAAGCAAAGATCAGAATTGTTGCATTTCCTGACGGTTTCTTGGAATTTTTCTTTTCAATATCTTGGGTATCTTTGGGTTGTCCGATGTTTAGTGGATCTCAATCATGAAAAGTCCTTTTTTTTCTTTCCGCTTTAATAACCATACATTCTCTGATAATATGAACTCGCTGTAATTTCCGGGCTTGAAAAAATCATATAGGCATTGTTTTTCGGTGAAAATGGCCTGCCTTCATTTCTAGCACGCCAGCAAATTCCTGGTCTGGACGTTGTTGTTGATCCATGTGCCGCCGTCCTAGTCTTCATTGTCACCGGGCTCCTGTGCCTCGGAATTAAGGAGGTATGTGATATAAGTTAAAGAGGAAATTTCATGTTCATGTTGCTTTTTTTTTGTATTCTTTTTATTTAAATGAAGCTATCCCTTTGATGCAGAGCACATTTGCTCAAGGAATTGTAACAATAGCCAATGTGTGTGTCATGCTATTTGTCATAGTAGCTGGCTGTTATCTGGGTTTCACGACCGGTTGGGTTGGTTATGAACTTCCGACAGGGTATGATGAGCATCCACAATGCTATCTGTTATATGTTTTAAGATAGATTCAGTTTGAAAAATACAGTGGATTCTCAGGTACTTCCCATTCGGTGTGGATGGGATGCTTGCTGGATCTGCTACCGTCTTCTTTGCCTACATTGGGTTCGATTCAGTTGCCAGCACTGCTGAGGAGGTGTTATTCCACTATTCTCCCAAACCAACTTTTTCAATCCATTGTATTACTGCACTTATGGGTGGCTGATTCGGGTTTTGGTTCGGTTATATTTGGATTCGATTTCTATTGATAAAAATCTCATTTTTTCAAAGAAATTTTCGTTTTTTTTGTTTTTTTTTTCAGTTCGAGCTTGGATTCGATTTGGTTACAATTCTGATTGTTTCAGTTATTCGTTTATTAACCAAATTTTTACATAAACTTGTTTTTCTTGGATAACTTAGACCTTACGTTGTCGTTCGGATATGTGGCAGGTGAAAAATCCACAACGGGATTTACCTCTAGGGATTGGTCTTGCACTCTTCCTTTGCTGCTCTCTCTACATGATGGTCTCAGTTGTTGTTGTTGGTTTAGTGCCTTATTACGCGATGGATCCCGACACTCCGATATCTTCTGCATTTTCTAGTCATGGAATGCAGTGGGCTGCGTAAGTATTTACGATTCATTACTGTTTTCTCGTTTTTAAATATGTTTGTACACAACTTGACGAGTTTGATATGTGTTTTTTTCCTTCCCTTTAAATGTAGATTTGTGATAACTGCTGGAGCTGTCATGGCTCTTTGCTCGACATTGATGGGTTCAATGCTTCCTCAGGTAAACAAGGAGTATAGTTGCAGTGTCAATGTATAGTTATAGATATATAGAGTAACGGATGATGATAACGATGTTCTCTTTGGGAAAAACGTTTATTATTGCCATAATCACCTGCTTATGGTCAGCCAAATCTTTGTTTTTCAGCCGCGAATTCTGATGGCAATGGCTCGGGACGGTCTGCTGCCTCCGTTTTTCTCGGAAGTTAACAAACGCACTCAAGTTCCTGTTAAAGGGACGGTGGCAACTGGCTTTTGTGCAGCAGCATTGGCATTCTTCATGGATGTTTCACAGTTGGCTGGAATGGTAAGCCCCCCACCACTGATAAGTAAAATTTTTAGAAATTTCTGATATCCAGTATAAACCTGTCATGATCTAGTCTTCTAGACCTGTAAGCAGTATTTGACAGAGCTATACTTGGTGCAGGTGAGTGTCGGTACACTTCTGGCATTCACCATGGTGGCGATATCGGTGTTGATACTCAGATATGTGCCTCCAGATGAGGTACCTCTCCCCTCGTCGCTTCAGGAGAGGATCGAGTCTGTTTCCTTTAGTTACAGTGGGGAGGATTCATCATCCGCCAGCGTTGGCACTTCCCGTAGCGGCAAACAGCCTTTACTTGGCAAACCCGATGCTTTGGCTGATTATCCCGTGATCGAGAAACAAGAAGTTCTTGGGTGTTGTAAGTTTTCCACTCATCTGGTGCGAGATTCGCATTTTCTCCTTATTTTTTTTTGTTGAAAATCTCATATAAACACACGAATATGTTAACAATTCCCACATTAATACACGAGCATTAAAATTTCCGAGAAAATACACGAGCTTTTCCCAACTCTCCATTTTCTGTATGATTGTAATTTTTGGGAGTCTTTTGTAAAATTCCGTGTATTTGTTTTTGGGAATCGTTGTAAAATTTAACTAGGAGTCGGAAAAAGTCCGTATTTTCTGAAAATTATGAAGTTAATCTGAGAGTTGGAAACAAATTATGAGATTTTACCTTTTTATCGCAAATTTTCCACGGATTTGTTCTCGCTGGTGTGATAAATTCCATATGTTGGCTATAATTCTAGATTTTTTTTTCTGATCTTGCTAATATTATGATGGTAATACAGGTTTTAGCAAGGTCTTATATATTTTATGCTGATTTTTACAGGGGCTCTTAGCGAAGAAAACCGAAGGAAAGTCGCTGGATGGAGCATTATGTTCACTGTTATAGGGGCCTTCCTTCTAAGTTATGCAGCTTCGAGTTTGAGTTTCCCCGGGTTAGTTGTTCATCCTTGGTTCTATTCTTTGCCTTTTTTCTTCTTCTTTTGTGTTCATATCAGAAGCAATTCCTTTGATTTTCCAAGAACATGGAATTCATTTTCTGAGAAGATTATTTCTTTGAACTTTTGGTTTTCGATCAGGCTTCTCCGATATTCTATGTCTGCTGTTGGTGGGATTCTTCTTCTGGCTGGTTTGATTGTGCTGACCTCGATAGATCAGGATGATGCTAGGCACAGTTTCGGGCATTCTGGAGGTAATGTTTCGATCGATATGGTAACGTTATTATTGGCACGACATGACAATATTAAAGCATCTAATAACCTCTACCAAAATTTATTCACATCCGCAACAACTTAATGTGTATTACCCGGTCTATTTAAATTCCTTTGAACAGGTTTTATTTGCCCGTTTGTTCCGCTCCTGCCTATCATCTGCATTCTCATCAACGCGTACCTTTTGATTAACCTCGGGTGAGTATCCCTTCCTCCTTTTTAGTCAGTCCCCTCTCTTTAGCAGCTATAAACCGGTTCTATGGAATTGTCGGAAAAAAATCGGTACAAGAAAAAAACGGAATGGTAAAGTTCATCGGAAATCTGATGGGTTCGAGAAACCTATCAAGAGTAACCTTTCCTTTTCTATCGAAATCATGCTTTGATCTAGCGCCTTCTGCTTTCTCAT